AGGAAGGAAGGAAGGAAGGAAGGAAGGAAGGAAGGAAGGAAGACACCACCACAGGAGAATATGCTGGGTTCTAGCTTCTGAGGGACTGGGTGCAAACTAAGTCCCTGCTGCACAGTAGCCTCTGAATTTTAGAAAAAAATTCAACAAAAGTTCACTAATTCTTTTAACTATTCTTCTCCACACCTAGCATGTCCAGAAGTGAATGCATTTCCATAGAAGTCTGTTATTGATGTTTACGCCCCCATTCACAGACAGCAAGGGCAGAAGCTGGCAAAAGACTGTGTAGAAGAACTAATCCATTTCTAATGGAAGACAACAGTGAATGATGACCTGGTATGAAAATCATACTGACAAGTACATCTGCAATCTTGTCCTATTTTTCTGGTTATATCACCGAAATATAACCCCCAAAATTAGCAGCACAGGATTTCAGAGTTCAAAGTACTCCCAGAGTCTAATCCAGGGCAGCACTGATAACTGGGGACATGCAAGGCTCGACCTCACCACATCCTGAAACAGAACATTTCTCCCCCGCAGCTCCCCTTTCTGCTGACCTGGCCTCTGCCTCCCATTGTCTCTCACCTCCTCCACCGCATCCTGCTCTGGAGTCACACAGAGTGAGTCAGATTCTCTCTAAATTCAAAGGAATCATCACAGGCAGATCAGCTCTCATAACCATTCTGTTCCAGACCTGGCATGGTGGGGACTCAGCTTTTGATACTCAAAATAAATAAATAAATAAAAGCTCAGTTTTAAAACTTACCCATAGCTGTAATCTCGTCTCAGATCATGCTAACTTTAAAGATGCAAAACATCTTATTTTCATATTCTCTAGCCACTACCAGCTCTTTATCATAAGAGAATACACAATAAAGCACACTCGAAAGAACTGTTAGTATTTGAGTATACACATTTTTTCTGCATTGTTTTCAGTGAGAAGACAGATGCCAAACTCTACATAAAAGTCCTATTATATCAATAACAGAGAACTTAGGAAAACAAATAGAAAATAAGAAAAGCATGAATCGCCTCCTAGGAGAAAGGCACTGAACTGGTTAGGAACCGGAGAAACAGAGGATTATAGATGTGTACCCACTGATGCCCATCAACTCACAGGTAGGATAAGTGAGAGAAGGCTGCACTGGTTGGGCTGGAGGAGAGTTCAGTCACAACTATACTCGTGCTGCACAAAAGACAGGTATGACACACGCATGATAAGGTCTGAGGGAATTATCACCATGTTTATGGGGAGAGAGTCTGTACCCAAAGGGGGGCATGCAGCTGCTGGTGACGGATGGCCAGAGGCAACAATCAGCCAGAAGATTCTCAAGATTTGCTCCATAAAGAGAGAGTGAATACTGATGTTCCTTTCCTCTCAAGTAAGCAGCTAAGGTCTGTCAGAGGCCACTAAGAAGGATCTTTCAGTTCTATCTTCCCTCTCATCTCCACAGTGTGAGTGAAGAGAAACTGTAGCCAACCAACCTCAGAAACCAAAAGGAATCACTTGAAGGCATTCTGTCACCCCATTTGAGGGTCTGATTCTTGGGCCTATGAGATGATTTCTCATAAGACCAAATTAAAAGCTGGGAGGAAAAAACAAACAAACAAACAAAAACAAAAAAAGAATACCCAGGACATGCCTGAGAAAATTCTTCCTCTTTTGAAGACACCTAAGGCAGCAACATTCCCCTAGCCATCTCACACAGACAAACCTCAGTCAAACCTCACGCACTGGTGAGACTCTTCCCATCATGAGCACTGAGGGACTGAGACCTTAACAGATGAAAATGGCAAAGGCCGTTCTTACCATACAGGCTGTACTCCAAATGTCAGCAGGTGTACTGTAACCTGCTCCTATTAAAACCTCTATGGATCTATATTGACGTGTCTGGATGTCTTCTGTGAAGTGTTTATGCTGGAAGGGAACAGAGGGCATTACTGTGGAGAAACAAAGGATGAAAAACATGTCTTCTCACATGTGATCAAGACCAACATGAATTTAAAAGGAAAATTCTACTTACCACCCAACAAGCATTTCCCAGGTCAGCAATTTTAACTCTAATTTTATCTGCATTCAGTGGATCCAGGGGATTCACCAACAAGTCGGCCGCTCGGGTTTTTGCTGGCATGAGTGAACAGCAGGACAGTTAGTGCTGGGATGAGTTCTGCATGTATGCACATGTTTACTGGACACAATCTCCTTTTCTACAAAACTGGTGGTTTTTGAGGCCTGGAGTACCGTAAGTTGAACTCAAGAGAATTTAGAATTCTTATCTTTGGAAAAGATAAGAGAACTGGGCTACCAAGAGACTCACAGACACTGCCTTGCCTTCTCTCCCCCTCTCCCCTTTGTTCCCTGGTTTCTGCACCCTTAGGTCAGCCCTACTCTGCTCCCTGGCTGTATCTTTCCAGTTGCTCCTCATTCTATCAGGCCCCACTCCCTACCCAACCACATCTAGCTCACTGGTGCACGAAACATGGACACAGAGGCAGAGGGAACACTGTGCTGCACGCTGAGTCCCTTCTGCTGTGGCACCTGACTCACCCAACACCCACACATCCCCACTGCTCCCTCTGCCTGGGCTGAGCACAGCGACCTGACAGGTTAGGGAACCCATGAGAGGATCACGAAAGTAGGCACAAGGCCAAAGTATCAAGTATACTGTTAAGTGGCACAATGAGTCAGTACCTTCAACATCAAAACTTAGAAGTCTGGGTTTCTGCAAAGGATGAACTATACAACCAGGCCTTTTACTTGGTTTTAAAGTCATTCTGAAATGGTATTTATAGTCTATACAGAAAAGCCTGTTCAATATAGAAACATTTTTTTGTTCACTCAAAGCTGACTTTACCTCTCCTTTTGGAATAAATCTGTGCCTTGGAAATCAGTGCTGGGGCGACTCCTATTCCGGGCATCCCACACAGGCAGCAAGGGGGCCGTGCTGTCAGCAGGGCAGTGGGCAGCCAAGGCGCCAGGACCAGAAGCACCCACAGAGCCCCTCAGGAGAGGTGAAAGGAGGTGGAGAGAACACTGGCAAGTTTTACCCCTCAAGACCTATTCTTCAAGCTCACAGGTCAGCCCAGATTGGCCAGGCTCGTGTACCCCACTTCTTGCTATGCACCGTGTGGCCACTTTCCTCTTTGTAAGGATGTAACCCGCCACTGAACTTCACAGGGCCAGGGTAGAATGAGAAGAAACATAAAGCCTCAGAAATTATGAGAAAGAAATCAGCACAGATACCCACTCACATGAAGAGAGAAGAATAAGTACACCAGGGTGCTTTGTGGGTTGGTGTGGTGGAGTGACACACATCTGAGGAGCTAGGAGCCTACTATGCCCCTCAACCATGAAGTAAACTAATGTTATCTCAGTTAAAAAAAAGAAAACTATACACCAAAGAGGAAATGGGGCTCAGAAGAGTTTTTCCAGGAGAAAACGTATCAGTAAGTCAAATGCTAGACGGGAAGCACAAAAAACAGTTGAATCCCTCCATTTAATCAAGAAAAGCCAGAAGGTTAGAAAGTGGAATTTGAGGTTCACAAAACTGGATTCAAATCTAAGTTTCAGCAACTGCAATGGATGAGACTGGCGAGTGATTCTGCCACTCTTCGGGCTCAGGATCAGGAAAGGAGGTGGAGTAAGGGAACAGCCCAATCCCACCAATAAAGAGAAAAAAGAAAAAAAGACCAAACATGGAAAGCCAGAGCGGCACCACTGACGGCCACTGGCCAGACCCAGGCCCCCCTGCCTGCAGCCTGACCACCCGCTGGGAGCTAGTGAAGAAACAACCAGAACCTGAGTGTGGGCAACTGAGAGAAGAGCAGTAAAGGAGGCTGCGGCTGCCGGGAGCAAGCAGGCATCCACGACAACTCAAGCGGAGAAAGCAGACTGTCTCTGCCTCTCGCTCCCAGTGCCACTGCTGGCAACATTCTCCAAAGACATTTCTCAGGTGATGTGTAACTCAACTAATCCAGAAGAAATACACTCCAAAAGCCATATCCTCACACATCTTCAACGCAGTCTCTTTGTATTTAACATCCCTCACTTAGATCACTAAACAAAATCTCTTTGATGAATTGCTGCTATCCTCCCGTGTCAGGTCTGAGTTAACCCAGATCACAACACACTGCAAAATTACACTGGGGAATTTATCTCTGGCTTTTAATTACATAAGGGCACAAAGGAGGCAAAGGAGAAAGCGCTTGTATTTCCCACCTTTCATGCTCAGTGTGATACGTAACTATGCCTGGGCCTGACTGTACGAGCCACAAAGGCCCATTTACACACAGGGACACGCTCGTATATCACACCAGAATGGCTTTGCCCACATATCAGATGATCTTTGATTAAGTCATAATTGTGGCAATCTAGCACAGCTCTCATGTTTGCTGCTTCTATCAAGGAGGGAATGAAAAAGTGGGGAAAGATGGGTGGGGGTCCATACCGTTTCTGATAAACTGGTTTCTGAGTGGCACGTATTCATTCCAAGGATGCTATCCTAGAAACTAGTAAGACAGCAGCCAACAGCATCTCAGAGTGAGGAAATAGCCCCACCACTTTCTGCAAGGCACTACCCTATGTCTTCAATTACAAAGGCATGAACATTCTTCCTACCCACAGGAAATTCAGTATCAGGCCCAAGGTATTAGCAGAATTTAATGCTAAAAGCTAATGCCTTCACTCACCAAGTGTTTACAGAATCCTATCTATGTACCAGGTACAATCCTGGCACTGAAAACAGTCCCAGCAAGACATTCAAGGTTCCTCAACCACACCCTAAATTTGCAAACCATGCACCAGTTGGGGAAACTAGCAGTAAATAAAACAAATGACTCACACGCCATATCAGGTAGTTTAGTATGCTGTGAAGAAAACAAAGCAAAAAAAGGACCTAGATAATGAAGGGGGTGTTCAGGGGAAGTACAGGTGATAAGATGAAACTATGATTGACACAGGGCTAGGTGAAGCGTGGAAGTCCTTAATCTGTGGGGTCTGACTCCATCTCCAAGGAGTGTCAGAATTACATTAAATCGTAGGACACCCAGATGCTTTTAGAGAGTTGTGTGATGTAGGGAAATCCCTTATAGTGATAGGTTGTGGTAGCATGGTAATACTGTGAATGAAGAGACACATGTAGGTGAATACATTCCAAGTGAATAAACATCTTCACATTTCCCCTGGTCAAGATAAAAGTAAATCAGGACAGAATGTGTCTACCCAAGTAAAATCCCACACCCTTAGGACGACTTGTTATCGATGATGAGTAAAGTGGTGGAACGGAAGGGCTGCAGAACTCTAAGGCTGTTAGCAGGGCTGGCTCATTTTCCTCACCATGTGTTGCACACTCTCACCAGCAGAGGGAGCAGAGGAGGTTTCTGAGCTTTTCACTGTGGACCAGGATGAAAACCAATGGGGGCACCCAGTTTTGCTTATTAAAGGCGCTTAGTATGTCAGAATATGTCATGTGGCATGCACTCTCAAAATAAGGGTTTGAAATAAGTTATCATGACGCTTAAATCCATGAAACTTTCCTTAAAAATTCAATAGCAGGATCCTATAGCTATCAAAAAAAAAAAAAAAAACTCAACTTAGACAAAAGCAGGAACATTTTTTCTTAAATACAAACAACCAAAACAAAAAACTAAATATAGCACTATCAGACAGAAAAGGATATAAATTATAAATTCCAGAAATCTACAGATGTTAGCTGCTAAATTTAGGTTTTAGCATGTCTGATGTCACTGCATAGATACAAAGATGAGAAAGGTTCAAACATAGTATCTGACATGCACAGAGGAAGTGTAGTAGGACACAATATACTTTAAATTACACTACTTGTCCACAAGTACAAAAGTTAGAAAAAGAAAATGGTAAATGTGTATTCACACGACTTTTCCACTGTCAGCACATTCACTCCACAGCAGTTATCAAAAATTATGACTTTAGGGCCACTGAAAAAAACCTTATGAAAAAGACACTTACTTTTTGGCAAATCCCCAGTGCTGGAGGCTGAAACCGTCCTGCTTCTGTCATGGGATGGGCTGCCTTCCTCAGGCTCAGTAAGTGGGGATCCCTCAGAAAGTGCAGAGCCACAGGCCACAGGTTCCAAGGGCCCAGGAAATAATGATGTGGAGAACTCTGGAAACTGTGACTCAGGAATTTTATGTCGTCCATTTGGCAATTCACCATTGAATTGTTCATAGGAACTACTATATGTGTAATCACTTTCCACATTTGGCTCATCAAGGTTATATTCCTCAGGATTTGGACAATCTTCTTCATCATCATCGTCATCATCCAGCTGCTGTTCCAGTAAGAATGGGCCATTCTCAACGTGACCATTGGTTTTGGGGGATTCTATCCATGTAGGGTCTATGTTCTCAAGTTCCTGCTCAACATCATCTTCATCTTTCTCAATGTTTTCTTTCTCGGCATCTTCTTTCTCTTCTTGATCCTCAACTTCACCTTGAAAAGTTTATGGGTTAACAATTAGAACTTTGTTACAGTAGCATTAGTTACTAATCTCCAATGAGAGGTGTTTGTTAAAGGTACTATATAGAGCAAAAACCTCTTGATCCTCAGAATACAATCCTTAGGTTTTCCAAATCTTATTTTTCACTTATTAAATAGTAATTGTCCTTATTAAATATTTCCCCTTATTAATAAACTCTATAGAGTGTTTTGGAGGGAAATTACTATTTGTAAACAGACCTGTGCTTCCATTTCTAACCTCTGCATTACAATTTCAAGAGAGGTTTTTTGTGTAATTATTAAATAAAAAGATAATTACAAAACAAAGGACAGTTAGAAACAGGATAGAATCATAGTGCCTCTCATTTTCAACTATTTTGAAATATTAATATATTTCTGGCATAGATGAAGTAGAGAGACTCTTCCGCATATTTGAAGTATCACAAAGTCAACTATGTGACAATGACCTGGTAGTAATGACCTCCTGCGCCCCCTGCACCACTGTCCCCTGAATTCACTGACCATTGTCATTAGCAGGTTCTCCTTCAGTCGCCTCCTCTATTCCTTCTGTCTTCAGTTTCACCTCTGGGCGATATTCATCGTCCTGCTCATTGGAAGGTACAGCTGATATGATGTTTTCTTCTATTATTTTCCTTTCTGCTTCTCGTTCCAATTCTTCTATCTCTTGCAGGCGCTTTTCCAATAACTCAGCCTGCCTTTTCTGTTTCTTTTTCAGTTTTTTCTTTTTGTTTTTTGATATTTTTCCTATCTATAATATAGTAATAATAATAATAAAAAAAAAAGCCATACAGGTCAGTTTACTTCTTTTTGAAACATCACATAGTAAGTCGTATACATGTTGATAAAATGGCAAACACCAACAAATTCTACTGTTTTTTTTTTAATTTTTAAAATTTTTATAAATAAAATTACTTGCTTGGACATAGGAGTCACCTTATGGCTATGGTTATCAGTTAAAACCAAATAATAAATCCAGCCCTACCTAATATCAAGTAAAGGAAATGCCAGCAGGTCCTGCCATCAAAGTACTATCATCTATGTTCAATAAACTTTTTCATTTAAGCTCTAAGACTAAATATGCTAAGATATTCTTCAAAAAGCAGTTCTTGCAAGTTTATTTTGATTCTACAAGTATACAAAGTGACGATATTCTTGCTCTCTTTGCTGTCTTACCAACTGTCTGCCAGAACAGGTGTATTTCACTGGTTGTTGGTCAACAGCATTGTTTGTGTTTAGATCTCACACAACGGGCTGTTATAAACAGCCAAGAGTACATTAACTCTAAGAAAGGAGCACATGAAATAAAGGGGGAAAGAAAAAAAGGCCATAATTTCAGTCTGTCTCCATCTGGGCCATCTGACTTGGAAAGTACTACAGTCTTTCAGAGTCCGTAATTGGAACAAGCTAGTCAAGTCTCCATAAATGACTGGGTTCCTGGCAGGCGCAGGTACACCTGTCTATTACAACTCTCCACTGTACAGAGGTTTTCATTCAAAACCAAGAGCTACTGGCAGCACTCAGAATTTTTGTACATTTCCTTTCAAAAGCATTTTGTTCACAGAGCTCCTGTAAGGCAAGGAGGTGAACCATCAGTTCAGGATATTTAAACTATTCTACCTTCTACCAGAACCAAGACACACTTTGATACATCAGGACAGGATTTAATTCTAAGCAGTTTGTTTCATTTTATTTGAGGTGGTGAGATAGGCAACATTTTTTCATATTTAACTACTGATTAATTTAAAAAAAAAAAAAAAAAGACAGCCTCAGAGAAAAAGGTAACCTAGAAGAGTAACAACTCCTACAAAGTGGTTCAGGACCACTGACACTTCAAACCCCATTTGAACCTCTGTTACCTCATTCTTTACCAAACTACCGTACCAAACTCACAACAGCACTTTCATGACACATAAGCAAATGAAGGTAAAGAACATATGTGGGACAGCTACAAACATTCCAACTCTTCAAACGTCAAACTTACTTATACATGAAGTCATACAGCTAATAATATACAGCATTTATATATCTGTTTTTACATCGCTATACATTAGAACATATGCAGCAAAGAGAAAAAAATCCACATATCCAATTTCCCCAAATAAACCTTAAATGAAAAAATATTGCAGAAATAGAAATAGTTTGAAAAGCTTAAAAATGAATAGTTGCATCTGACATGAAGGTGAATATATATGACTACTTACAGGTTTTTGCTGTGGAGCGGTACTCACTAAAACAAAATGAAACAAAATGAATGTTTAGAAGAAGAGATACATATTTATATAGGTAACTTGAATTATAAGATAATCACTGTCATGTAACGGCACTACAACTCCCCAAATCATTAAATACCAGGGCTTCTTAATCATGGTCATCTAAAGTTTATTCAACACACACACACAAAAAAAATCTCTTAAAGGCACAGGAGAGTTGTTAAAAAATCAATCTGGAGGCACTAACTCACAAGAAAATAGAGTTCAAAAATAATACAGAGTTTAAGGGGGGAAAAGTATGTTTTACACAAAATAAAGTGAACATTTAAGAAGTTGTGTCTCAAAACAATTCAGTGACTTTGTACAATTAAACTAAATCAAATACTAGAGCAAATATTCTCTAGTGTGAAATCACACACAGACCTTGCCAGGCAAGGTTCATGAAACAACACCCTGAAGGTAAAGAGGCGGCACATACCCCAAGAGCCCCAGTCAGTTAAAGGACTATAGCCCTTCAGTTTGTATGGTTATTAGCACAGTAGTCACAGAGAACATGAAGAAGGCGTGAAAGCACTTCAATGTAACCATTACCCTCTGTAAAAACCAGAAATAAAATGATATAAGCCAAAACTCAAGCTATATGGTCGCCATGTTTTTACCCTTAGGTCTTTTTTTTTTTTTAAAGGTTTACTTATTTATGCATACAGTATACAAAGTACAGGTCACAGGTGCAGGGGTGGTGAGAGGATTCACCAGACACAGAGTGGGGAACAGACAGGCAGATCGACAAAGTACACTGCTGAGGGGAGCAGCAGGGGAGACAGGAGAGGTCTGCCACGACATGTGGGTCACCTCCGGGGCGGGGATCGAATTCACTGAAGCGGCCGCGGCCAACTTCACAGTGCTGTGCATTAACCCGCTGTGCCACCAGGGAGGGCCACCCTTAGGTCCTTTTAACTAATTCCATATCCTGCAGTTGGACTGATACTAAATGAAAAGTAGGAAACATTCCAACAAAACAACCTGAGAAAAGTTCTGATGACCATGAATGAATTACATGAAACCTGCTGGTATACATTCTCCTGCAGAGAAATGCCCAACACATGATTATGTTCAAATGTAGGTGAAGAAACAGCTAAGAACTTAAATGACCTTTTAAGGGACAACAAAATCCAGCAATTCAGATATTAACTTACAAAATTTAGATGAGGCATCTTCTTTCTCAAGAAAAAGGTCTCCCAATGTACATGCTTAACTTACTTGCCTTCAACATGTAACATGCCTGAATGTCAGTGCCCCCAAACAGACTAAAACAAACCCGGTTGAGTGCTCTCACCTGCAGACCCTGACGGAGGAGGAGCACCTGCTTTCTGCCACTCAGTGGCCTCAGCTGCCATTCTCCTCACATATGCATCATCCACACACATCAAGATGTTTTCCGGCTTTATGTCAGTATGAATAATCTTGCACTTACTGTGTAGATAATCTAACCCCTGAAGGACCTGGTCGTAGCAAAATCAAGATAAGCCATGAGTTTTTAATGCCTTTGCTATTTAATACCTTTGTTATTTTAAAACCTGTTACTAATAATTTTCTAATAATCATAGAGGAGGAAAGACAACAGATACAAAGGATACTTAGTAAATCTCTCTTCCGATTTTGACCCCCCCCCAGGGGAATCTAGCTTTCCCACAACCTGTCAATGTATATATCATTTTGGATATAAATTATATTCATGGAAGCAAATCTACATACCTTACACATTTTAAGTAAATTCTGAGATGTAATTTCCATAAAATACATTTCACCCTTTTTGTATGTAATTCAATGGTTTTTAGGAAATGCAACCATCATCACTAATTCAGTACATTTTCATCACCCCCCCCAAAAAAACACCACTCCCATTAACAGTCAATTCCACATGTCCTCCCAACTTCTACAAGCTTATGCAACCACTAATCTACTTTCTACTCTACAGATTTGATGATTCTGCATATTTTATATAAAGGGAATCATACAATGTATATGTTTGTTTGTTTGTTTTCCCTTAAACTGGCCTAATATTATGAGTTCAAGGTTCATTCATATATATATAACACATGTCAGAACTTCATTTATTTCAACTGCCAAATGGTCCACTGGACACAATTTTTGTTTAACCATTCATTCCTAGATACTTGACTTTTTTCTACCTTGGGACTAACTTTAAAGAAAAAGCATGTATAATTGTTTGTGTGGACATGTGTGTTAACTTCCCAACTATAAACCTTGGAATACAACTGCTGGGTCACAAGGCAATTCTCTGGGTAACACTAAATTGTTTCCAAAGTAGCCACTCCATTGTATATTACCACACCAGTAAAGGATAATAGCCTTCTTTATCATGGTATCTGTAACCTGTCTTTCTTATTTTAAACACTTAATGGGTGTGAAATGTGGATGTCATTTATCTGCATCTCTATATGCATACATTTCCAAAATTAGAGGAAAGGAAAAGCCATCTCCAGTATTCAGACAACACTGTACTATTGAAGTAAAGGTAATTACAGAGTAAAAAATTTAATGTGTTTACTATATTAACTAGAGAAATTAAGCAGACACAAAACAAATATGAAGTAACAGTTACCTACATGTAAAATCAGTTTCTCTGGAATTGTTTCCATCAGAAAGGAATTCCTTCTGTTCTTCCCATAAACACGAGTTGCATTGCAAATACCTATCATGTTCCCATGGTTAAACTACATACTCAACAAATACTCATGTTTAATTAACATCAAATATTTTAAGTCATTTTGGAGTCTTGTCCCCAAAAAGTCAAATAGGAAAGAATATACGGATACAGAGAATCATTCAACTCTATCACGTTCTTAGCAAAAGCCAATGCTTCAGTCTACCCAAGTATCTTTCAAACAACCTTAGCAGACGACAATGATTCATGAAGGAAAATGCAAACAGGAAGATCTGCCTTTTTAAAACAAAGAAAATCCCTAACTTTAACTGAAACAAATTTTTCTATTAACTATTCTTACATGATTTTATTGAATGTGCATCAGTGAGATCCTATAACAGGTCACACATTATTCTAGGAGTTTGATGTATAGCAATAAACAAAAGTCATTGCCTTCATGTGGCTTATAGACTTCATGTCTCATGCCAAGGGGAGGAGAAAATAAATGAACAAAAAATAATAATAATAATAATAAACACGGAGCAGAGCAAATGTGATTCAATGACATGCCAGTGAATTCCTATTGAGTTCAAGTAAAAATGATAAGACTAGGATAAGAAGGGAACTTTTGACTTCTAACCTTAGATTTAATATTCAATGTTCTGGAGTAATAGGCTATTAGTGTATATTGTGTTTCAAATGTCAAAGAACTGATAGTAAGAAAGGTGTTAAATTAAAAAAATGGTTCTAGGTCAATGAACCTGTGATTTCTATTAAATATTTATTTAAATATATTTTTACATTATTATTATTGGTACAATATTAGATTTTTTTCTCTCAGGTGTAGTTCCTGTAAAATTTCTACCACCTAGTCATCCCTGTGCCATCACCGTAATTAATCTCTTGTACTCTTCCCCGTTTTACTCTCTCTCCCTCCTCTGCTGAATGTCTTTGATTTATAGCCTACTAGTTTTGTCCTCTTTTTTTTTTCCTGATCCCTTATTTGGTTCCTCTATATTCCTCCTATAATGAGACCACCTTATAATTTTCTTTTTCCTTCTGACTTATTTCATTGAGTACAATCCCTTCAAGCTCTATCCATGTTGCTGCAAATGGCATGGGTTTGCCATTTTGGATTGAATAGTATTCCACTGTGTGTGTGTGTGTGTGTGTGTGTGTGTGTATAAAGTAATGTTGAACTTTTTTTCATACACACACACATATACACACACCATATTTCTTGATCCAGTCATCTATTTTTGGGCATTTGTACTGCTATAAACATAGGAGTGCAGGTTTCATTTTGAATTAATGTTTTTGTGTCCTCTGGGTAGATCCCTAGGAGGAGAACTGCTGGGTCACATGGTTGCTCCATTATTAGTAGTTTGAGAAATAGCCACACAGCTTTCCATAGTGGTTGGACCAGTTTGTACTCCCACCAGCATCCTCTCCAGCCTTTGTTGTTGCCAGTTATTTTTAATATGTATCATTCTCAATGGTATTTTTTTGTGATTTTGATTTATATTTCCCTGATTATAAGTGGTGTTGAACATTTTTTTTATGTATCTGTTGGCCATTTGCATTTCCTCTTTGGAGAGGTATCTTTTAGCTTTTCTGCCCATTTTTTGACTGGATTGTTTGCTCTGTTTTTGTTGAGTTGTATGAGCCAATGAGTGTTACTGACATTCACAAATTTTTTTTTTTTTTGGTAAACTGAAATATACGAATGTTTCAATTATGAGATTCTGAGAAGTACAAGAAGTTAAAAGCAGGCACACTGACGATTTGCAGTCTACAGAGAGGTCAAAGAAAAAATCTGTTTAGGAATTTTAAATTATTCCAATTGAAAGTTCTTTCAATTATCAAACATTAACTCAAAGTAAAAAGTCAGCACATTTCTAAAAGTATCACTCAGCACCACTCTCAGGCACAAGGTGCCCCCACCTTTTTCTACCTTAGCCCTTTCTTAGTTCCTAGGTTATTTTACTGTGGGAGGAACTACACCTGTAAGAGTAATATGATTCAGTCACAAATTCAATAATATGAGCACCCTGTGACAATGAAGCACTCACCAGTTACAAAGTGTTTATCATCACTACATTCAACTTACCTAGGACTCATTTTTCCTAATGTGCAAACTCTAGACTACTATTTAATACTTTTTTAGCTGAAAGCTAAAAAGAGTGATTCTATTTTCAAAAATAAGTGTTTCCTCTCCCTAAAGCAATAAACCACCTGAAATCCAGAATCAAACAATTGTGGATAATCTTATAACCACTTATGCAGAGTAACTATAGTTCTATATTTATGCAGAATAGCTAAAACTGAAAAAAAAAAAGACAAAAGAATCACACTTCACACCCAAAAATAGATTTCTCCTTGAAAATGTAGGAAAGAGTTAAAAGGAGCCTTTGCTAATTTCCTTTTCTGTTATATTCACTTGTCAAGTCAGTCTTTTGCCTAAAGTCATACTTAGCCTCACCAAAAGGAGGCAGCAGAGGCTGCAGAGATCTTTCAGTTGCCATCTGAATCTACAGAGGCCATTAAAGCTGAGATTAATCTAACCATAATAGGGGCCACATCACAACTCTAAAAACAGAGGGTTGGTTTCTTCATTAAATCAGATTTATAGGTCATCAGCAGTATAGAAATAAAAGCAAAGCCCCCGGTTCTGGCTCAGAAACTAAGGTTTCTAAGCAAGTTCCTTCCCTGACCTCAAATTCAGTCAGAAAATAGGAAGTTTTGTCAAGATGGTGCTAAGGCTTCATTCTATATGCCAATGCACTGTGTTACAAACCATCTATTACGGCTGTTAACAACATAAACTTGCTCCTCTTCACCACAGCTTGCTAGAAATAACTCCTACAAACTTGTAGATATAAAGAAAGGGTAAGTTTAGAGTAATGCAGATATTTCTCCTGAAGGTGTCATCTCCTCAGTCCTGTTCACCACTCAGGGTAAAACTTCCCCACTTCAACTCCCTAAATTCAAAACAAAAAAAGAGCAACTTTGTAAATTGTTTTCTGACTTCGTCACAAAGTGACTTCTTCCCACCCGGAACAATGACACAGATGAGGATAACTGCAATATGTTGCTTCCCCTTTGGGGAATGACACAGCACCCCACTCCTCCTAGGGAAACCTCAACAGATAGCCAGCTGAACCTGCAGAGGGGCAAGCCGAACATTTCAAGATAGGATTTTGTTGTGAATATGGAAAGAAATGGCACAGAGGCTCTCTCTTCAAGGCAAGAGACCTTCCCACTAGGAAAGCTCAGGTTCCTTATTGAGACAAACAAAAGTGAATGCCATCATGTTCTTACAAGCATGATGTTAAACCGAACTGAGAAGCAAGGGGAATACTTATTTAAAAATGAGGACATGAACTAGATAACACATCCAGAAAAAAGTTTCAGTGGATACTGACTTCATATGTTTTGTCCGAAAATATCCTTCTATTTGTTCTTTCTAAATCTGACTAGTTTGGATTAATGAGATAATGTGTAACAGGTGAAAATTCTGAATACAGTCAGCAGGAAACAAAGAACCTATGCTCAGCATTTAGAAAGTAGTAGTAACTTGATAAAGAGGCCAACTCCCTGGAAAAGGAGAGACTTCACCAAATCTGAGCTGAGGCCCCAACATTTTGGGGAAGACAATTCAAAGTTAGTAGAGACCCATTTGTACAACCACACTGAATAAATCCAAAAATACAAAAATATTGGAGACTTCTGGTCTAAAATTGAATAAAACTGGACTAATCACAAATTCACTGATAACTAGGCCAAGTTAAATAATGGTAAATACTAGTAAAGACAAAATCATTCAATGATAAAAAGTTGGTTAATCTGTCCAGGTGAAGTCCAGCTCCAGATATGCCCACAGAATTTACCCCCTACAGAATGTGGGTTTGGAAAAATAATGGTCTTTAATTAGCAGCACCTGCTGCAGATTACAAATAGCCTAAATAATGGTTGTACTAAAAAACAATTTAACTGCTAGCTCTTTGTTTTTAAGATTTCTTTATTTATGATACAGAACTGGGGTACAGGCCAGAGGTGAAGGGGCCGTGAGAGGATTCACCCAAGACAGAGTGGGGAGCAGAACAGGCAGACTAATGAAGCACACTGCTGAGGCGAGCAGCGGGTGAGACATAGAGGTCTGCTGAGCCATGTGGACCACCCCAGAGGCCAGGGATCAAACTCCAACTGCAGTGGCTTGCTGAGCTTTAACCCGCTGCACCACCAGGGAGGGCCTGGCTCTATTTTTAAGGTAAAAGAAAACAATTTATCACACAGATATGAACGTACATCCCCCCACACACACACACAAAGAAATGCCATTACTGAAAATGGCCCGAAATTTTTCTAAGTAGAAATACAATTTCCTGCAGTTGAGGACATGGTCTGTATTTACAATATCTGTATTCAAATCTTGGCTCCATTAGAATAACTATGAGACCTGGACAATATTTTATCGTCTATGAAACACCTCTGTAGAATGAAGAGGTAACACCCTCATAAGCTTTTGATGAGGGTTAGACCACATATAATAGAAATAAAGCATTTAAAGAACAGAGTTCCTGAAAGAGCATGTGACTATCACAGTAGCAGGAGTAATAGTTTTAAAATCCAAGGCTAAAAGCTGTAAGTACATGTTTTTCCTATATTGCAGCAAAACTGCCAAACAAAACCCATGTCCTGCCCTCACCCAGCCTCATTTAATGGCAAGCAGCCACTACTTTACAAGATTTCTGTAAAGGGCATAGAATTAAACCTTACACTTTGGAAAAGTAAAATGTCAGCTACCCTTTCAATTACATAAGAAAGTCAAAGCTCCGTTTAAAGAACAGCAAGGGCATTTAAAGAAGTCATCACCTGCGGTACATCTTTAATGCATCTCAAAAAAACAAATACTGCCAACACAAGAACCCTTTTTCTTTCAGTTTTAGAAATAGAAGCCAGCCATAAAATAGACCTCAATAAAGATGATTTAAAAAGAAAGAAAGAAAGATGGCAAGCGAACAGACAACCGCAAGCCTCCATGCTTGACGTCAGGGAGCAATGGGGCCGGTAGAGTCCTGCCACCGTCGGCAGAACCCACCCACTATCCCTACTCTGACCCAGCACTAGGTCTACTACAGTTAAATAAGGATGGCTAAAGACTGACTGCAGGATTAAGAATAATAGGAAATCTTTAAAAAGTTTAAAAAAAAAAAACTGTTACTTGAGAAATTGAGCAAATGGTAACATTTACCTATGAGGTCATCAAATCCCAACCAGGTAAGCTATGTTGTAAAGTAAAAACAAGAAAAGATTTCTGTTTTGTATATAAGAAAAACAACCTATCAAAAACATTTCTTGACCTCCCCACCCCCGCCGCCCCTACACACACACACACACACACACACACACACACACACACACACAATCTGGAAGAAGCCACAAAAAGATGCAGAACTTAATACATGATGTATCTCCAACATGCTCACAATGCAATAGGGAAGACAGGATAGTTACTTTGTGCTAGTCACTATGCTGGGATGTTTTATCAGTAGTCCTTCAGTATTAATCTGCACAATCAGATCACAAATTATAACTTTTACAAATGCAGAAACAGGTTCCCACAGGCTAAGTACCTTGACCAGACCCCAAAATAAGTCTACTGTTAAGGCTGTACCCACTGCACTTACTCCTCATTTCAGTGGTTCTCAACAACGGTGTATTTTTGCCACCCTCACACCCCCGAAACTTTTGATACAGCTCAGAGACAACTTAAATTGTCACCTTTGAGGGGTATGTGGCTGACACAGGCTTCTAATGAGAAAAGGCCTGGGATGCTGTTAAACATGCTGCAAGACACAGGACTAGTCCCTACAACAAAGAATTATCCAATATCCTGTCAATAGTGCCGGGATCGATACACTGGAGCCTATATCAGAGACCTACAATCATTGGGAAAGAACCAAATATAGGCCACGGTAATTCCAAAAGGAAAGAAATTATGCTTCTGAGTCCTATGGAAAACACTTGTGACATAGGTGAAATTTTGGTTGAGCCTTTAAAAACACAGGCAGTACAGAAAACTAAAGGTAAAAGAACACACATTCAGCAATAAACAAACCTACAGACTATTTCAAAAGCAAAATCTAGGATAATTTCTTAAGAGTAGTTCTCCCAGCTTCTGGTTCTCTGGGTGCCACCAGCTATGCTGCAATAACCTGGACTACGCCACAGCAGCTGTGGCTGCCCAGCCAACCCCAGCATAGCTGTGTTTGGGTTTCAGGAAAAACCTCACAGCAGTACTGGAAACACCGGGCTCAGGTATGAACCTGGCCAGCACCACTCAGATACAGCAGAGCTCACCTGCCCAGTCCTCGTGCAAAATGGTGCAAAATGGCACAGGGCAGATTAGACACACTTCCTGGGCTCTGGTTTTGAAACCTACACTAGTTTCGAAAACGATCAAATAATTTCAAGCACCCACTGGCACCAATTATGTACAGACTTGTACCTACATCAATTAAGTCTTCAGAGCAGCTGCTGGTATGGAAAATAGACCAATTGGGTTGGAAAGGTGGAAGATAGGCGGGAGTTTCAGCTTGAGGGAGAAAATCCAGCGGCTCCAGCAGCTAAAGAGAGGCTTTATTCATTGTGGGAAGGTATGACTCAGCTTCTTTTGGGTTGTAGAGCAGCTGCTTGGGAAGGATTCAGTAGACTTGGGAGAAAGGCTTGATTCAAGAAGGTTTAACTCAGTTTGGGAGGAGTTTCAGAAGATGACGACTTGGACTTCAGGAGAGACACTGCTAAGCCATCTCTTCAGCACCACCTGTGGACTTCCCCCAGCTGCCACAGGTTAGCTGGATCCTGGGCTGTAGCTGACAGGTGTGCCACCAGTTTCTGAGTTCCTTCCGAAAGACAACGCCATCTTCACAAGTCACTGTAGTTTTGAACTGTTATGACACCATGGACACTGTCCGGAGGGGGACAGTGAGCCATCTGTAGCCTAAGAAACTCTTCCCTTTATCCTAATCTACCCTAGCAAATAAAGGCTATTGGTTTTGCACCCTGAGATTGAACCGGTCTTGCAATCGTGAGCGCACAAGTGAAGAACGTCATAAACCGTGAGTAATTCCAATTCCATTAAACAGATTTAAACTTTAAAGATTTTTAAAGTGGGTTTAACAAATCTATTCAATATGCATATATGCAAACACATACTAACTACAATTGTTAGGCAGTTTCTTTCATAGTTCATCTCTTGAATTCACAATTCTTCAAACATAAGTTATTCTCTGATTCTGTCCTTAAACCAAGGTCTGTATTTCATGCCTGGAAACTCTGGCAGGTCTAGTCAAACCACCAAGTTATCTTCTCCAACAAACCAAGCAACCTCTTTTATGTACTTTATGTTCTGCAGAATAACCCAGAGCATGATAATCAAGAATAAGTTTTATCTACAACATTCCAAACTTAGGCTGTTAAGCATTAAGTGAAATATAGACTGCTATAACCCATGAAGAAAACAGAATCTGTTAAACACTTCTAATTATAGATGATCTTCCAGGCATGTATACTTCATATAATTATCTGCTGGTGCATCAACATTTGACCTTAGCCAAAGATTTTCTTGTGTGAAGGCAACAGAAAAGTACAAATCTAATAAATATTACATTCCCTTCTAAATTTAAATAGTGCTTAAATTGCCTTTTGTTTTTCCTCCATCCAAAGATTCTCAGAACTAGTGTTATTTGTTTAAACTGAAATATTTTCTAGGAACTAGGTGGGGCATTTTATAGTAATGACACTGAATAAAAAGTTTCTCATTGTACCATACATATTTAAAAAAGGTTAAGATGACAAAAGAAATGTATACCTGTTACATTATTTCTGTTATGAAAATGATTAATCATTAAATAAATATAAAATTGACTTAACAAGCTTTAAATATTATGCACAATAATATATACCTACTTTTTTAAAAACAGGAATTAAGTATGCTTATGTGTGTTTTAAAGAAAGCAGCAATTCATGTTGGAAGGATAGCCAGTAATGGGGGGGTGGGGGGGTTGGAGAGGTTGCCCTCCTAAGCCTCACCTGTCGAATGATACTCTTCACACAACGGACTGGGAGGCCTTGGTAGTTGGACTTGATGATCCACTTGAGGAGATGGTGGCCAAGCACCTCAAAGACCATGCAGACATCTGAGACACAGTTAAGGAGTTTGCTAGTTATTGAAAGCAGCATCACTGTGGCACTTGGCAAGACCTTCATTATGTTATAAAACGCAACATCAATACCTGCAATAATACCAGAAGTAGCCCTCTGCTATTTCTCACCAAATCAAAAGACCTAATATTTACTAAGTACTCAGTATGTGCCACCTATTATTTAAAGTGCATTTGTAACAACCTTACGGAACAGTCATTCTCAAGTATAAACAAGGTGACTAAAACCTTGGAGAGTTTAAAGAACTCTCCTGTGTTTTAGAGTTGAAAGGGGCCACGGCTGTTACTAATGCTACTGTGTGCTCCCTCTTAGCCACTTCTCCTCAATGATCAGCCATACTGAAAATGAGCAACTGGAAGTTCACTAAAATTTATGAAGAAAAAAATAAGGAACTTCCTTGTCTTAACTGTCCACCTGCCTGAATTTCTACACTACATATCACATAAAACACTGTATAAAAGTCTCCAAAGACAGTGAAGACCTATTTGATCTTCTCCTTCAATGACTTCACTGCACAACTGGATCAATTTTAATACATGAAGTGCTTTTTAAAGGCCTCCCTGGTGGCACAGGGGTTAAAGTCAAAGCGTTATCAAGCAATCACCTGCTGCTGTAACATGAGTTCAATCTCCAGCCAGGGAGATGATCAACATGGCACAGCAAACCTCTCCTATCTCATCTACTGCTCCCATTAGCCACTAAATCCACCTGTTCTGCTCCTGTCTCATCTACTGCTCCCATTAGCCACTAAATCCACCTGTTCTGCTCCTGTCTCCTCTAGCCACCACCCCACCCCTCTCATCTACCCCCAGTTCTTGTATTGCCCAAATAAATAAGCCTTAAAGAAAAAAAAGCAGTTTTCAGAATGCATACTCACGAGATGAGATGTCATTAGGCACAACCTGTAATAATGAAATCTCAGAAATCTGGTGTTTGCAAACAATTTCTGGTTCTAGCACTGGCCCTCCAAAACTATGACCCTCCAAAGTCCATCACACAAATAAATTCAAATCATTCACACAAGATTTTAAAGTCCTGAAACTCTTCATGAACATTTTGCTCAACCCTGGAAGCTTACAGATAAGCTTTTAAAGGTTAACTGAAACATAATTCAAATGGTCATCCTACCAAAATCAATTTACAGATTCAATGCTATTCCAATGAAAATCTCGATGACATTTTTCAGAAAAATAGAACAAATACTGACGAAATTCATATGGAACCGCAAAAAAACAATAATAACCAAAGCCTATTGATGAAAACAAAGGAGAATGGGTATCACTTCCAAACTACAAAGCCATTACAATTAAAACAGTGTGGTACCGGAACAAAAACACGTAGGAGAAAGTCCAGAAATAAAGCCAAGTATGTACAGACAAAGAACTTGCAATGGGAACAAGGACAGTCTACACTCTAATTGTAGTTAATTACTCTACTATGCACTCTATTTTATGTCAGAAATTTTATATTATGAAGGTTTTTAAAGAAAAACTGTGCTCGCTAACATTAAAGACTATATCAAAGTCATCAACTAGCACATAAAGGATATCACTTACTTTTTACAAGGCATTTTTCCCCCCCAAAGCAGAGAAACAAGAAGAAAAGTAAAGAAAATCAAAATACTTCCCATATTCACCTGACAGAAGGATGATCACCTCCAGGATTAAATATAACTTTGTTATGGTGACATATGCAGAGCATTTTTCCTCTGAATGTCTCAACCTCACCTAATTCTTACCAGCTGTTGGAGGAAACATGGCCCTTGAATACTGGTTTTGTGAAGTTTAACGCAAAAAGTAGTTCTGGCCATCTACCAGTGCAAACACAGACTTCATTAGCACAAAAATCATCACTATCATTATAATTGTTAATGATTATTATAATATTAATTATAACATTATTATTAAAATATTAATGCTTTTGAAATATTAAATGATTAACAATTACTTGGTTTAGTAATAAAATTATTGTTAATTAATTAATCTATTAATCTAATATTAATATTTAAAATATTAATGCTATGCCAAAATCAAGGCAAGTTGTCAAATAATTTTTTGGATGTTGCTATCCATAAACCCTCAAAAAGGCTCTTGCAGAACACTCCAAGCACACCATTTTGTAACACCCTGTGCCAGAACTAGAGCTTTCTGTGGAAGTGGTATGGCACTCAACAGAACTGCAAATGGGCATGAAACATTTATCCTTTTAATGTAAAATGTAAGAAGAAAACTACTGTACATACTGTACACTGGGATTAACAGGACAGTCAGAAAGGATACGTATCCCATTCATGCCTGAAATCTTGAAGTCATCAATTAGCTGTACCACCATATCTTTATTTGGATCAGTGGGGTCACTTTCTCGAACCTAAAGAATGGAAAATGAATTAAACAGACAGAAGGTCAATGTCATTTCCATTATACAAACCATAATTGTTTTTTGAACATGATATTTTAAAAAATAAAAGATTCAGTATAAACTTATAAAATGAATTCACTTTTAATTCAGTAAAACCTGGAAATCCCTCCATAAAATTTTAAGCTATTCATTTTTCTTCAATCATTTACACTTTATAATACTTACACACTTCAGCAATTTTATTTCATCCAGGGCTGTCTCTGTATAATGCTGGGCACTTTTGACAACTTTCATTGCAACAAATCTTTTCCCCCTAATTAAAAAAAGAAATACATGTTTTTAATGTAATAAACAGAAATGATCCTTATGATGACAACCAATAAAGAGACACTTTTAATAGGTTCTCATTGAAAATAGTACCCTTCACATTATGTCAGCATAATGAAGAAGTGGGTCCACAGGTCAAAATCTCTTTTGTACCACTATTCACTGCATACACATGGGTATGTGTAGTGTGTAGTAACTGCGTTTGGTACTATAGGCCATGGCTTTTTCAAAAAGTCAGAAACCACAGAATTGAACGAGCCAAACATTTTTATTTTGTATTTGAATGTTTTATAAATGTATGATGCATATGTAGCACAATTTCAATGAATAAGCTTTAAACATAAAGCTAGAGGAACACTATGTAGATCACAGGTAATAAAGTACTAATAGTGGTGAGGGGTGATAGCTAACACACAGGGCAGGCATATGCTAAGTATTTTACATGCCACAACAGAAGCAAGTGTGCCCACAATCATACTTTGCAATAAAATAAAGATGTTGATCTGACATGGAATCAAATGCACAAGGAACACTTACTGCATGTCCCAGCACAGCCATACAGTAGAGAAGTGTCCCCATCCTAGCTTCCTGATAACATGGTACCGGCCATTGAATAGGTCCCCGATTTTCACTGGGTGATAGCCGCCTGTTTCAAAATAAAAGGGTTTCTTTTAATTTCAGAAAATGCTATCTCATCTCCTCCTTTGTCACTTCTTGATGCCATAAATAGTCTAGTAAAATTCAAATTAAAACCCGTTTAACAGCACTTTTTTCCCAAGAATATAGTTCATAAGGAGAAAGGTGTCCTATACTTCATATTAGGCTTTATGACTTTGTTCACATTTAATTTTTAAAGGCAGCAAATCATGTAACAATCTATACCTAGTAGATGGAGGTGCACATGTGTAAACACCAGCTCTTGATGATGCCAAAGAAACTTTTTTGAGCAGTAAGTTAAGCTCAAACCTTTAGATAGTACAATATTTACCTAAGTAAAATATGCATAATTCTGCATACACCAATAGTTTATAGGTAACCTGTAAGAACAATATAATGTATAAAAATGTACCCTCTTAAAAGAGTTTGTTTCTCTCACCACTCTCCCTTCAACTTCAAACCCCTGCTGGGAAACCTTCAGTTATTAGCAAACTGATTGAAGAGAAAGGGTAACCTGAAGACTCCAGGGGGGAGCTTAAGGGTTCCTCACAGACATTTAGCACTTTAAAAAAAAAAAAAAAAACCTTCACTGTATTTTTCAGTGGAATAAGCAAGGTAAAATGTACCAGGAGTAATGATACCTTTTTTTGTGCAATGCACAAGAATGAGTCTAAAAGAAATAATATCTCTGTATATAAAATACTTTTACTCTTTTTATTGTTTTCTAACTTAAAGTTTTTTTCTACAACAAACTGTACTTTCTGGCTTTTTATAAATGTTTGCTTTTCATAGCAAAGGTGTTTCTCTATTTTTTTCAAATTCTGAATTCTTGTAAAAAATATTTATGCATGCAAGAACTGGGTACAGGTCAGAGGTGCAGAAATGGGGGTGAGAGGATTTAGAGACAAAATGGGGACCAGAACAGATACAGCCACTGAAACACACTGCTAAGGGGAGCAGCGGCTGAGACGGGAGAGGTTTTCTGTGGGTCAGATCCCTTGCTGGGGTCAAACGCATGCTGCAGTAGGTGGTGAAAGCTTGATGAAGGCCCTAACCTGCTGGAATCAGTCATGGATGATTTACATCTAGTGTTGAGAGGCTCAACGTGACACTACAGCAGTTATATGAAACACAAACCCATATCTTTCATGACATCTGTGTTACTCTCAGAGGTAAGAGACATGACAAATGTTTTGAACACTTAAATTGTGTTGAATTAGTGAAGTAGAATTTGACAAGATATTGTGTGTCTACCATTCTGACTCCCAGTTCACCATTATACTTGCTTTTCCCAGGATTTTAATATAAAGTCTATAAAAACATTTTGGGGGCCCTTCCTGGTGGCACAACAGGTGAGGACACAGCACTGCAAGCTGGCCGCAGCAGCTTCTACCTCGGAGGTGACCCACATGGCGCGGCACACTACTCCTGACCCACCTGCTGCTCCCCTCAGCAGTGTACTTCATCAATCTGCCCATTCTGCTCCCCACTCTCTCTGGTGAAGCCTCTCACTGCCCCACAATTCTGGCTTGGACCCCAGTTCTATATGAATAGTAATAATTTTTAAAATTAAAAAAAAAAACACATTTTGGACCAAAGATAGGAAATAAAAGATAGTAAATGAGGGGTAAGACACAGTGTGTTATAAAGCTGAAGGTGTAAGTAAATCTATTGTCGTAAACACTTTACAATGTAGACATGTCAAATCATTGTACTATATACCTTAAACAGTGTCATAAGTCAATTATATCTCAATAAAACCAAGAAGAAGAAAACTGGCCGAATGCTAGGTAAAACTAAGTTGGGTCTAAGAGTACAATGTATTTTTAAACCACTGAAATTAACACTTGAAGAGGAGGAATAGAAAACTATTATGTTTCAATGCAAGTATGAGTTAGAAGCAGTATGTAATAGGCCTTCTCTCATGAAACAAAAGTAAACTGAAGTTAGTAGGTGTTCCACAAGGGGAATAAGGGAGCGAGGGAGGAGGTAAGAAAGGAGGGCAAGTTCAGTTTGGGAGGTTTGAGGCTTAAAATAACAAAGGTAGATTTCTGAGCATCTCTCAACCCAATGCGTTAACACAAAAAGTGAATTCCTAAAAGCAAGTTCAAATTCCAGACATCTTTGCTCATGAAATTATTTCTTATAGGAACTGGTCACATTTCACAACACAAAATACTTAGCAAACACTGACATCTATCTCATTCATTATAACCACCAATCTGTAGACGCTATTAGTTCTACACAAGTGTCAGAGATGCACAGTAGTGGACTCAGAGCTGGAAAAGAAGTCTAACTCAAAGCCTGCATTAGTTCTAGCCACCATTAAGAAATATACTCCATTTTAACAACCAGAGGGCTGTTTCCTGGTCTTAGTACAGAAAGACTACTTGATAGCTTATCAGTATTTACACTTAATTGCACATTATATTCACATTAAAGCATAAAAGTTAGAAACAATTTATGATTGGAGAAACTTGTAGGCTTCAGATTTGTTCTTGAATTCTCAAACAGGAAGTGAAAAAAATAGAAGACTACCATTCCCAGTATAAGGGTGACAGTTCCTTTTCTTAGTGGGACTTTGAAAGATGAATGCAAGAAATTACTAGGTTCATCCAGTTTTCTCTAGAGCTCAGACTAGCTAAGAATGCTCTAAAAATAAACCAGTTAAATGAGCAGGATATAAAAGTAACACCAATATTAAAACAATTTAAAGTACTAAATGTTTATACTACTTTTAGTTTTAAAATGTGACATACGATTGCAAACGTCTACTTCATATATGTTCTTAAATCCTAACTACCAGGTTCCTATAGAAAATAATCTCTTCTGACCATTTTAAGATCACAGAATAGTAACTAACACTCACCGTGAGAACAGTAAAGCACATGGCTCTCTAGTTAGTCCACATCAACATGCCCCCAAGCCTCAGAAACTAGAGGAAAATGGACACTACATGTAACTCTGCCAGAAACCTTTCCAACTTCCCACAATTAGCTATGTGGACTGTAATGGCTATTAGCAGTGGATACTCCATAATCCACAACACTGTCTATCAAACAAAAGATCCTGCTAAGAGTAAGAGACTAGATAAACCATTTGATCAACAGGCAGTACAGGACAAAAGGGTAATCAAAAGTGTCACCCACAGACCTTGCTCATGACATCAGAGTATACCAAAGGGGGAAGCACCAAAGGACCACGATGATTTAGGGATTTGGTTGATAAATTTGTACTTTAGACCACTGAACATAAAAATTACAGCACTTAATACTTCCAGGTTTTCCTTTTATTCTTTAAAACAAGTATTAGATAGGATTCAAGCACAAAAGAACTGGGATGTGTTAAGACGTCATTAAGGCCAATACTCAGCTTCTTCTCCAACTCTTAATGTTCCACACAACCAAAAAAATTAACAGTCCCCATTAGGTCTAATTTTGCTTTCAATGATATTAGTTACCCACAGTTCAAACAGACAGCTTGAGAGAGACCATATTCACATAAAAAGTTTTGTCTCTTTCTACTGTTTTGCTATTGTTAACCTGTCACTGTGTCTAACACTGTTTTATTATTGTTAACCTGTCACTGGGTCTAATTTCTAAATTAAACATTATCATAAGTGTGTATGTGTAAGAAAAATGATAGCATAGATGGAGCACTACCTATGTATGGTTCAGCATCCACTGGGGATCTTGGACATCAGTCCTATTTGACAAGGGTGAGAGAATTTCTGAGTAACTTCAGCTATACTGAAGCTATTACTAAGGTTCAAAAAAGTAAAGACAATTCTAAAAACATTCTTTTCAGCTGTTTTGAAGGAACTGTTGGCCAAAGATGACTCAGTTTTCCTTTGCCAAACACAAAGTAGGTTCAATTTGTAAGAGTGAACCAAAAATTCAGAATGCCACCATAAATAGTCTGAAAAGATTTAAGTCTCCATCTCTATTAAAAATAATTATTAAAGTATTATTTCACAGACCTAATAATCTCCCCCTTCTGATGGTGAGGTTTCTATCCATAACTAGGGATAGCATTTAGTGATCTAACGAAAGGTTTAAGAATAACCTCAAACACATTCCCTCTTTAAAATAAAAAGTGACAAAAAGAAATTTATTCACAGTACAATAACACATTCACTTCAGGTCACTGATGATTTCAACACTTTCTTTCCAAAAATTAGTAGGACATGTAAACAGAAGAGTAGTTAAGTGTATGAATGATGTGAGCACACCATCAACCAACCTGACTTAACGGACAGCATACCCAACGGTACATTTAAGAACAATTATTAGGACCCTCATTGGTAGTGAAGCAGGTTAAAACACAGCACTGCAAGCTTGCCGCAGCAGCTTCAGTATGAGTTCGTGATCCCTGACCCCAGAGGTGACCCACATGGCACAGCAGGCCTCTCCTCCCCCTGCTCCCATCAGCAGTGTGTATGCTGTATCCCCTCATCTGTATGCCACTCTAAAGTATTTAACATCTAAGGACTCTGGAGCACCATGGATGGTTCTGAGCATTTAAAACAGAAATGAAGAATGAAATGTTCTGATGTGTGTGCCTTTCATGGTGTATCAGCCTCTGCCTGGCATACCCTCTTAGTTACAGCTGAAAACCAGAGACAATCTCTCATCCAACCAAAAATATTTATTACATTGGGGATGGTTAACAACAACAACAACAAAAACACTACCCTTGACCACAAATAAAAGTAAAAGTAATGTATTACAGGTTCTGGAGTTGGGGGAGATGTGTGCATGGTGCAGCACTGCTTGATACTATTGAGTTACAATGCACCCCCCATTAAGATTCAAGGTGGTGCCAAAAAGTTCTTTCCAAAGACACATGCTTTCATTCCAAATTATACTACAACTTTGTTCAAAATGATGCCTTCAGAAATCATACAAGTTACAAAACTGTGTAAGTTGCCAAATTATTGTAACACATCATCTCCAAGGAGTCTGTAGTAGTCGGCATAATATAACAAAACGATGTCACTATTTACTGGTCCTTGTAGCAAATATCTTCCGAGGAATTTATGAAATTTGTGGGATATAAGGTAGTTCAAAACTAGTCATTCCCTTACACTGTGAATCAACCCAATCACTCAATGAGAAATGAAGGGTCTCATCTTTTAGCTGCAGTTTTGGAGTTTTAAAGGAATGATACATGGTTTAGATAAGCAGACCCTAGCTTCCATATGCAGAAAAATATTTACATTTGGAGTCTGGGAACTACTCCCAGGGACTCTAACTGAGAAGTTACAGTGCTGCTTAAGAACACTGATCAGGCAATTCTGACGCAGATGGCCCCAAACTCAAGACTAAAAACCTGCGTTACCCTATAATCTCCTCACAAGAAGCCGTGTCACTCTGATAAAGGGACATTATTGTCATATTCAAATGTGAGCAGGATTATAAGTAAAAGTGAATAAACAGCACAGCGTGCTGTTAGTTCCAGCCTTAGACAGCAGACCAGAAGTGACATTAAAATAAAGAAGGAGAGAGAGAAGCAGTGTTCTATTTCTAAAGGCTAGAAAAGGCCAATCCAGATGAGGCATTAAGAACACTGAATGTTCCAGAATGGATGCAGCATGTAGTACAGGCAAGAACATAGCTGAGAGGGGAATGATAGAACAAGAAGGAAGGAAGTGAAATTCCTATTTCTTGAGCATCTCTTTTGCTTCAGATACTGTGACACACATTGTGGCTGTTTCAGGTTTGTTTTGTTTTGTTTTGTTTTTAGATTATTTGTGCATACAGAACTGGGGTACAGGCCAGAGGTGCAGGGGTGGTGACAGGATTCAGAGTAGGGAGCAGAACAGACTGACTGACAAAGTACACTGCTGAGGTGAGCCGCAGGCTGCGCCATATGGGTCAGTTCCTTGGCCAGGGATCAAACAATGCCTTACACTGGATAGACTATAAGGAAGAGTGTCTCACAGAACACTTTTTTGACTTTGTTCTATTCAAAGATAAGGGTACAGTGTCAGTTTCTGTCCCAGACATTTCATGAACTCTTGGAATGTACCTGCCATTTGGCTAAGACAAACCCTTAGGGCTTATGACAAAAATCTTACACATAATGCTTAAAAAAGGCCAAAGTGTGTGCGTGAAGAGGAGGAAGAAAGAATTCAGTGACTGTCACCTGGAATCAGCAAGGAACTGAGTGATCCTTTATTCTTTGCCTTGCATTTCAGACTGGGGTGTTTACTTAACTGATACACTGGTGGTCCCATCTCCTGACCTGACTACTGGAGAGTTTGGAGTGAGGCAAACAGGTCTTGTGCCAGCATGATGGAACCCATGTGCTAAAGAGAAACAGTTCTTACAGACTACTCTAGTTTTAACCTGAGCAGCAAAATTAAAACACCAGTTCGATTCTCTTCAAACAATTTAATTTCCAAACCAAGGAAAGCAGATCAACAGGGAGGATGGAAAATATTTTTTTCATCTTTCCAACCAATCTCTGAATAGTTCTTTTCTGTGGTAGATGGCATAGACCTTTTTGGGGTCACAATCACTATTCAGCATTTGCTGAAGATCCCCATAAACACTAATTCAATGGAAAAGTTAGGTTAGACTGAGAAGATTCTTCTCTGATTTGCATAACAATAACTTGCTCTTTCTCTTAGCAGGTAACTAAAAAGTACATTGTTCCTTATCCAAGGCACAAATGGCCTACAAATGAATTGATACTAAGGAATTACAAAAAGATTCATCAAGACTCTATGATCTAAACATGTGTCCATCTGCTGCAATCTATTGTTTATACTCTGGTTTACATTTTCCTTTACCTACAGCAAATGCCTCATCAAGTGTTCAGAACCTCAAACTCCCAAATTAAAGTCCAAATAAAGTCCCATAGTCTAAGGGAATACAATATCCCTGTTTCTGAGGTTCTCAGAGACTAGTCTATACAAATATTAAGTCTGGATGATCTTGTTCTCAATATTCATCACATAACATGCTCACACCTAGTAGTTAAAAACTATACTAGGTGGTTTTAGTTAACCATCAATACAGCAACACTGTCTGAATAATTTGTCTTGTGAAATCATAACCAAAAACAGAACACTCTATGACAGGACCACAGAACGTCTTTTTTATTGAGTATAATGCCATGAAAAAGCCTGTTTCTGTAAACAAATGGTCAGTTTTCTTTCCACAGATAATGAATTACTTGTGAGTGCCATACAGAGAACATAATTTTCTCTTGTTAGTCTTCAAGAGAAAACTAGTCAAATGTAATACAGAGTTAAATAGGCTCCCCGGGAAAGCCTGGCACCTTCTCCTCTCTAAGCAACTTCTTAAATGGGTTTATTATGTTTTTATATTTACATTATCTATGATTCTATCCAAAGATTTAAGTCATCCTGAAAGTACCTCAAGTGGGTACTTTCATATCCACTCTAACATAAACATGTAAACACATGTTTATTTTGTATCTCTTAAAATTCTTCTGATATCGAAGAAACAGATAAAAAAAAAGCCATCCCCTTTTCAATTAAAACAAAAAGAATAAAATGCCTGGGAGTCAACCTAACAAAGGAGGTAAAAGACTTCTACAAAGAAAATTACAAAACACTGTTAAAAGAAATACAAGAAGACACCATGAAATGGAAAGACATCCCCTGCTCATGGATCGGGAGAATTAACATCATCAAAATGGCCATACTGCCAAAAGCAATATACAGATTTAATGCCATCCCAATAAAAACCTCAATGACATTCTTCAAAGAAATAGAAAAA